CTACACATATCCCATCACCCGCATACGCGGTGCGGATCAAATCTGTCACAGACGACTTTACAGTTGTGACATGAGTAAGCTCATAGTCTGGTCTGCGTGACGACACGTCAGCCAAAGCATTCTGCTTTCCCAGCTTATACTTCATCTCGAAGTTATATTCCGCAAAGAAGTATAGCCATCTAGCCATCCTTGCGAGAGGTGAGGCGACTGAGTCGCAGTGCGTAATGACGCATGATCTGTGTATATCACAAATGGCTTGGAGCCGAGCTGGTGGATCCTCAACTTGTCAAGTGCATACTTCATCGCAAGTAGCTCTTTGTCATGAACTAGGTAGTTCTTCTCCGCAGCTGTGAGCTGTCGAGATTCAAACGCGAACACTCGATCTCGTCCCTCGGCGTCTGCTTGCAGTAGTGCACAGTCGATGGCAAAGTCCGAAGCGTCTCAGACGACGCTGGAAGGACGATCGAGATCTGGGAGTGCCAGTATTGGTGCATGCAGGAGACTGTTTTTGACCCCGTCAAAAGCCTCCTGATGTTCGGTGTTCCAACACCATTCCGCATCATTTTTTAAAAGATTGGATAATGGCCGCGCCATTTCTACGTAATTTACGCCGTACTTGTGCAAGAAGTTGGCGAGACCAAGCCAATTATGCAAGTCCTTCTGGTTCTTTGGAACCGGCCAATCTACAATGGCCTTGACTTTAGCGGGATTTGCTCGAAGGCCACGCTTCCCAATGAAGAACCCTAAAAAGGGAATCTCTTTTGCGCCAAAGATGCACTTGTCTGTATTGGCGTACAGTTTGTTAGTGCGCATGCACTCGAGCACCGCTCTTAGATGGACGTTGTGGTTCTCCTCATCCGTCCTCCCGTGCTCCACACGTCTGCGAACGAAAATGTCGTCAAAGTATGTCCGTGCATACGCCCTGTGGGGCCTGAACAACTGCGTCGCAAGACGATTAAATGTTGCTGTTGCATTTGACAGCCCTTGGGGCAACACCAGCCACTCCCAGCGCATACCGCTCGGAGTGCTTACCGCTGTTAGCGGAATGTCACTCGCTCTCATGAGCAATTGGTAATATCCATCTACCAAATCGCGTTCACTGTACTTCGAACACCCCACCATGTTGTTCTGAAGAACATCCTTTCTAGGAATCGGCGTCTGTTTGCCGGAATGGTTGCAGCGTTGAGCTTTTAGTAAGCAAGAACGATAGGCCACTTGCCGTTCGGCTTCCAAACACAAAACGTGGGTATCGAATGGGGAGACTTGCTCCTGCGTACCACCCCTGCGTCGTGCTTTGCACGAAAAAGGCGTCAATGACGTCGCACTGCTCCTTGAGCAGGGGCCATTGGCCTGTTACGCAGTATTTGGTTCCCGGAACCAGGTCAAACTCATGCCGCACACCTCGGTCCGGAGGTATGACCGAAGGCGGGTCTTGGCGACGACATCTTGATATTCCTTTACCAAGGATAGTACAAATCCAAGGGATTCCGTAGGATCGACGATCCACTTCGTGCCTTCAGCACTCTCTTGGTGTCTTCCAGACAGCTTCATCCAGAAGCGATGAAGAGTTTATCTTCTCGTCCGGTCGTTCAATAACCAATTCGGCCAGATCGCCTGCCTTCAATGCACTGCCGAAATGTTCAAGGAACATCTCGTCCAGCTCAAGAAGAGCATCTACTGCAGTCATAGTCTCGAGGTGGACGTCGCCATCTTTCTCCCCCGTCATACCGTTGACGAGGGTGTATAACTGTGCGCCATCGTCTACGAAAGATACACCCTGGGTCAGGGTCGACGCCTGACGTCTTGCAGCCAGCATAAGGCGTCGCCGTCGCCTCTGTACAGAGGTTCGGCGTCTCGGTGAGACCAGGGCGAACACGCACTCCGCGTCGTCCGATGTCACCCTCACTATCCGCTCCTCTGGAAATCAGATGATATTTACAACATCTGACGAAGAGCTGCTAACCCCGCAGTGTTCGTCCAGTGGATAGCGTGCCACTCCACGCGCATCTGAAGGATCGTGTTCAGGATGCCTCGGACTCTGTCCGACCACGCCATCAATGGCATGCAGCGACTGCTTTGCAACGAGAGCAGTGCTCAGTGGTTGACATACCACTTCACGTGCATCACGGGGGTCTCTCCCTCCATGCCTCGGCCCTAACCGACCATGTCACGCATGACATGCGACGACTGCTTCGATCTCGAGCAGCGCCCAGTGGGTTACGTGCCACTCCACGATCAGCGCGCGAGCCATG